GGTCATGAAATTTTAAACAGTGTAATGCCGACCTTGATCAGGAATTTACAACTGAATGTTTGGATTTTAAGAAATTTTTATTTTATTATTTTTCTTTTATTTATTTCTTTTAGTTATTTACGATATAAGTGGGATAAGAGCTTTATTAACGTACGCATGCGAAATTTGCCGCAAAAGTACGTTAATAAAGCGTTATCACACGTATATTGTACAAATTTTTATCTACGCCTCTAAATGAAAAAATAAACGGTAATTATTTTTGTCTAAGACTTAATTTAGGGTTATTTTGACATTTTGACTTTTTTATTTGATTGGTTAAAAGCAGAGAAAAACGCGTGCGTTAATGAACTTCTTATCTCACTCAAAATGAGTGGGATAAGAAGTTCTTATCTCACTGGCGTAGATAAATTAATTTATTTTACACTATGATTATAGCTAGCAAAACAGTTCTTAAAAATTGGTACTGCTTAGTCTGTATTAATTTGTATTAATTCTTCCATTCCATTATTTAATCCGGGTCCAAAACACTATAGCACAATCTGAATTAAAAAAAAAATACCGCTCGAAAAGGGACGTTTTAAATAGTAAATATCAAGAATAAAAATTGCAGGTTTTTTAGTAGTTTTTAAGAAAATTAAGTTTGAAAATGCTTTTTTTGACAGATTTTTTGACAGGAACTGTCAAGAACTGACAGATATAAGGTAATGATGCTGTTATTAATAAATATAAATTCATGCCATGAAGTTTGTTGGAATTGTCAATTTAATACCTATACTATAGACAATCCGAAGAAAACTAAGAGATCTGTAGATCTTGTTGAGAATTATCGACATTATTCTATTTTGATTAGAAACACGCCCTTGGAAATCAAGAGATAATTAAACAAAAAACAACTTTGACTTCAAATTACAAAAGGGGTTTAACCAAGATACATACACCTTTAACTTAACAAAATGTACTCAACACATCCAGTTCCACTTTGATATTTGAATTAATTTTAATTTTTTAAATTAGAAACACGAATATATATATGAGGCATTCCATGTCAACTCGGCCACCCCCTCCTGTGCAAAATTGACTAAAGTTCTTCGAAACGTGCAAGTGATGAATTTTTAGCTTATCGTCTTAACTTTTAAATGCCGAGTGGTATTTTGTAAAATTTCAAAATGGCGGTGTCAATATAGCGACTGCAAGCAATAGACATCACTTTAAAAAATCCGTAATACGTAGTTTACATTAACTAACAACTTTATAAAATTAAAAATTGAAATTTATTTAATGCAATGATCTATTATCAGTGATTCTATGTATTTTTTACCACTGATTACACAATGGTTCGCCCCTAACCTCAAAAAAACTTAAAAAACAGTTTCTCGTAATTTACTCCCGCTTAATGCATTTTTGATAGATGGTTTAGCATTTGTTTTTTGTATTTCTCATTGCCTAATATAAATATGGCCTTACCTCAGAGTCTACATAAAAATGTACGTTCCTAACCTAAAAGAACTCTCAAAAAATGTATTTTTCCCTTCTTTACAGCTGTTTAAAGCATTTTAAAGATTGGCATAAGGTTACATTTTTATACTTTTTATCGCCAAGTACGTAAATAATCCAACTATTTACTGCACACAAAGCAGTTTACCCCTAACCTTAAAAATATTCTCTACAAATTAGTTTTCTGCAGTATAGAGACGCTAAAGAAAATTGAAATATGGGATATATAGATTTATTTCCACACTTTTATCGCTAAAAATGTTTATGATCTTTGATGGCAGTTCTTTGTTAACCTAAAAAACTTTGCATCATACCTATGCAATAAAAATGAGGTTTAAATGATATGTTAAAAATATTTACTATATAGTAGTTACATAACAATATGCTGAATTTGTAATAATCTATATAAGATTCTAACGATAATTAAATTCGGAGCCATTTTGAGCATTCGAATACTTTTTTAAAAGTACATTTTTATTTGGTAATACCACAAAAGAATATTATTTTTGGTACGAATTTAATTATCGGTAGGTGTAGATTATTACAATTTTAGCATATTCTTATGTAATAACTACTATACTATAAAAATAACTACTACTTATACTATAAAAAATATTTATAACATACGATTTATGCAAAGTTTTATAGGTTAACGAAGAATTGCCGTCAAAGAAAGATTATAATCGTATTTAGCGATAAAAAGTGTGGAAATAAATCTATACATCCCATATTTCAATTTTCTTCACCATGTGTATCTGCAGAAAATTAATTTTTAGAAAATATTTTCAAGGTTAGGGTTAAACTGCTTAGTCTGCAATTTATAGTTAGGATTATTTACGTACTTGGCGATAAAAAGTATAAAAATTTAACCTCATGCCAATCTTTAAAATGCTTTAAACAGCTATAAAGAAGGTAAAAATACATTTTTTGAGAGTTATTTTAGGTTCGGAACATACAGTTTTACGTCGACTCTGAGGTAAGGCCATATTTATATTAGTCAATGAGAAATACAAAAAATAAATGCAAAAATATGTATCAAAAATGCATTTAGGGGCTGTAAATTTCACAAAACTGCTTTTTAAGTTATTTTTTGGGGTTAGGGGCGAACCATTGTGTAATCAGCGGTAAAAATAACATAGAATCACTGATAATAGATTAGTGCATATAATCAAATTCAATTTTTAATTTTATAACGCTGTTAGTTAATGTAAACTACCTAAAACGGTTTTTTTAAAGTGATGTATATTGCTTGCAGTCAATATATTGACACCGCCATTTTGAAATTTTACAAAATACCACTCGGCATTTGAAAGTTAAGACGATATGCTAAAAATTTATCAGTTGCACGTTTCGAAAAACTTTAGTCAATTTTGCACAGGAGGGGGTGGCCGAGTTGACATGGAATGCCTCATATATATATATATATATATATATATATATATATATACATATACATATATACATATATACAGGGTTTCCCCATAATCAAATTAAATAATTTCCGAGCAAATCGAGGCGGACTTGGTCAGTGCCTGAGCCCAGTTTTGCGCGCAAAATTCTGCTCAGGCACCGACTAAGCCTAACCAGGCTACTTTTAAACTTAATCAAATAAAATAAACGCTGAGCTCTAGGGGCCTCAGCAAAATTGTGTTTAGGCACTGACCAAGCCCTCCTAGGCTTGTTGTATTCGTAATTAAATTTAATAAATTCCGATCAAAGCGAGGCGGGTTCGGTCAGGGCCTGACCCCAATTTTGATCACGCAAAATTGTGCTGAGGTACTGACCAAGCCCACCTAGACTACTTGTAAACGTAATCAAATTAAATAAATGCTAAGCGAAGCGTGGGTATGGAGCACAGTATTCTACCTCTTGGCTTCTGGGGGCCATAGTACATATGCTCAGGCACTCGCCAAGCCTGCCTAGTACTTGTAAATATAATCAAATAAATAATTGCCGACGAAGCGTTCTCGTCAAACTTATTGGGGCATTCCACGTTACTCGGTAATTTTTGTCCCGCCCGTCACAATTAAAAATTGTGAGTAAAAACCGCAAATTATAAAATTAATATTTTAAAATAAATTTTATAACGTGTAGTTTTTACTCACAATTTTTAATTGTGACGGGCGGGACAAAAATACCCGAGTAACGTGGAATGACACTATTGTAAAACGAATGTAAGTAAATAAAAACGCAAAATTGTGCTCAGGCACTGACTAAGCCCGCGTAGACTATTTGTAAACGTAATCAAATTAAATAAATGCTAAGCGAAGCGTAGGACTTTTGCGTATGGAGCAGAGTACTTCTACCCCTTGGCTTCTGGGGGCCTCATATAAAAAACGTGTACATGTGCTCAGGCACGCGCCAAGCCCGCCTAGGCTTGTTAGAAACGTAATCAAATTATGGTCAAATCAAATTATTGGTCAGTGCCTGAGTCCAATTTTGAGAGCGCAAAATTGTGCTCAGGCACTGACCAAGCCCGCCTAGGCTACTTGTAAATTTAATCAAATTAAATAAATGCAAATATATAAGCAAAGCTTGGGACTTTTGGGTATGGACCTCATATAAAAAACGAGTACATGTGCTCAGGCACTCGCCAAGCCCGCTTAGAACTTGTAAATATAATCAAATTAAATAATTGCCGACGAAGCGTTCTCGTTAAACTTATTGTAAAACGTATGTAAGTAAATGAAAACAAATATTTGGTCCAAAGTTTATTATTTATACTTTAATGTAATCTGGGTTGCATACTTACCGTAAATTAAGATATTTTAATGAATATTTTTAAATCTGACTAATTATTTTGTCCACACTAAGTTATTTTAATATTTCCTTCATTGTTTTTATTTTTTACTTCCAAAACGCATCAAAACAGTTGCACATAACCTTCCTGATTAAAGTATTTGCCAGGGTAAATTTAAAAGGGATACCTATAAAAGGGGGCATGGCCAAGATTTGCGTAAGGGTGTAATGGTCCTAAAACCGGCACTGGAGAAAGTACTTAAAAATTAAAATTAAAGTCTATAAATATTTTTTTTATTTTAACATTTAATTTTATTTATTTATTTATTTTACAGGCCCATAAAAATAGAGTGGTCTGCTCCATGAATTAGACCATAATATATATTTATGAATCTGAACTCATTTAGCCTCTACAAGTCTGAATTTTTTTCTAGATGAAGGGTACTTCTCAAAGAATTGTTATGTTTTTTGTAGTTTATGAGCACCCTGTACATTTGATTTAATTTTTTTTAATAGAAACCTCATTTTTAAAATAAGCAAGAGTTTTTATGATGAATGTTTTTTTTTCGTAAAACCCATAATAAAAAAGTTTTCCCTATTGGCTATTCAAATCTGGGGACACACTATAGAAAAAAATCCAGACGTGTTCAGTTTCAGTTGGCCAAAATACATAGCATAGACCACTTCAAGTTTTGTTTGCGTGTTATTATTGATTTAATAATGTAAAAAGTAATTGATGAGTATTTAATTTAATATGTATTTTTTAGATATGTATTGGCAAAAATGGAAGAGGACCAAGAAGAATTGAAACATGGGCATATTACTTCATTAGCAGTTAAAAGATCACATCGAAGATTAGGATTAGCCCAAAAACTTATGGATCAAGCTTCAGAAGCTATGGTAGAATGTTTTGATGCCAAATATGTATCACTTCATGTAAGAAAAAGCAATAGAGCTGCTTTAAATTTGTATAAGAATTCTTTAAAATTTGAAACAGTTGAAATTGAACCTAAATATTATGCTGATGGAGAAGATGCCTACTCTATGAGAAGGGATTTGACTGAATTTGCCAAACGAATTAAGTCATTAAATGAGGAGTAGGCTTACTAATCATTTTTATTTACTATTTATTACTTAAATAATCTTAAAATAATTATGGTTGTAATACCTTTTTCAATAAACACCCAGGTTTTTACACTTTTCCTGTTTAATTTAACATCCCAAATATTTGATAAACAACTGAGGAATTTGAATGTCACTTGCAATTATATATGACTGGGGATACAGTATGTATTTTATTAAATACAAAACAAAATTATATACAGTATGCCGTAAGTTCTCTACATATGGGAACCTTTTTTAATATTAATTTTACCAGGGACTAGGAGTAGTATTTAAACTCATTTTTAGTTTCGATCCCTGAGCGAGTTAAATTCGGTCAAACCAGTTTGAATCAATCGGTGATGCGAACAGTTGAGACGGCAGCGAGATTTAATCTGAGCGATATTTAAACGCCTTAAAATAATTTCGATCTGCTTACGAGTTATATTCTCCCATGTATAGAAAGTTTTGATACTTTAGTGATTAAATCATACCAGATCATATTGGGATTAAATCCCAACGAGATCGGTAAGGATTTAATCTTTTTAAGAGTTTTAACTTTTTAGTTTACTTGGCTTTGCTACTATAAAGAGTTGGGCATGTATTAGAAATAGTTTTACTTTTTTAATAAGACTAATTATTAGAGAACATCAATTTAAACATTTAAAGTAAAAAAAATTTAACAAAGGAATTTTAAAATTAACAATATAAGATAATTTTTTTACTGAAAAGTTATTAATAATTGGTAATTAAGAATTACTTATTATTAATAATTATTGATTATTATTAACTTTTTAGTAAAACATTTTTATAGATTTTTTGATATTTTTATATTGATAATTAATAAACATGGCAAGATGGGTATTTAAAAAAGGTCTTGATAATTGCAATTAAAAAAATTATATTATTTACCCCCTCTCTTTCCCCCAATTTAATAAGTTTCTATATTTCAAAATTAACTTGTCAAGATGGGTATCTATAAAAAGGTCTTAAAATTTTCAATTTAAAAAATATATAATAATAACCCCCTGTCTGCCCCCTTATTTAAAAAAAAATTATATTGCAAAATTAATCTGACAAAATTGATAATTACAAAAATGTTTAAATAATAACAATTTAAAAAATATTATTAATTACCTACCCCCTTCCTCCCCCTAATTTTTAAAATTTTTATGTTGCAAAATTAACATTTCAAGATGGGTATCTATAAAAAGGTGTTGATAATTGCAATTAAAAAAAATATATTATTTACCCCCTCCCTACCCCCCAGTTTATTAAGTTTCTATATTTTAAAATTAATATGTCAAGATAGGTATCTATAAAAAGGTCTTTATAATTGGAATTAAAAAAAATATATATTAATTACCCCCTCCCTCCCCTTAATTTTAATAAATTTTATATTTAAAAATTGACATAACAAGATGGGTATCTATAAATAGGTCTTGATAATTGCAATTAAAAAAATTATAATATTTTCCCCCTCTCTTCCCCCCAGTTTATTAGGTTTCTATATTTCAAAATTAACACGTCAAGATGAATATCTATAAAAAGGTCTCAAAATTTTCAATTAAAAAAAATAAATAACCCCCTGCCTGCCTCCCTATTAAAAAAATGTATATTGCAAAATTAACCTGGCCACATTGGTAATTAAAAAAAGGTCTTATTAATTACAATTTAAAAAATAATATTAATTACCCCCTCCCTCCCTCTAATTTTAAAAAATTTTGTATTGCAAATTATCATGGCAAGATGGGTATCTATAAAAAGGTGTTGATAATTGCAATTAAAAAAAAAATATTTTATTTACCTCTCCCTTCCCCCCAGTTTATTAAGTTTCTATATTTTAAAATTAACATGTCAAGATAGGTATATATAAAAAGGTCTTGATAATTGCAATTAAAAAAATAGGTATATATTAATTACCCCCTCCCTCGCCTAATTTTAATTCTTCGGAATAAAAGTTTAATAAATAAAGGGGGAAGGAGGGGATAATTAATATAATTTTTAAATCGTAATTATTACGACCTTTTTATAGATACTTATTATGCCACGTTAACTTTGCATTTAAATAAATTAGGGGGCGGAAGGGGGTATTTTTTAAATTGTAATTTTTAAGACCTCTTTATAGATACCATCATGCCATTTTAACTTTTCAATATAAAAATATAACAAATTAGGGGACAGAAGGGGGGTAGTTAATATAATTTTTTAATTGTAATTTTTAACACCATTTTATAGATACCCATCTTGTCACGTCAATTCTTCAATAAAAAAGTTTAATAAATAAGGGGGGAAGGAGGGGGTAATTAGTCCAATTAAAAAAAAAATGTAATTATTAACACCTTTTTGTTGGAATATAAACAAAAATCAATCTAGTTTTCACTGTTCAGATAAATTAGTCCAAGGCCCCGATATATATTAAGTTACATAAACAAAATCATGAGAAGGCAAGTGATTAAAAATGCTGAATAAGGGTTTATTGTTAAAGCTACTCTTTCGTTTTAAATAAGTTAAGTTAGTCGTAATAGAGATGTATAGACGGTACCTTCTGAGTGCTTTTCACTTAGAATAAATATTGCATTAATACTAATTGTGTTGTTATTTGTATCCCATTAACCAACAGGTTATGGGCCCAGGTATCGCAGTGGCATAAATAAATTGCGCGGGACTTTTTAATAGTTTAATAAAAACAGTTATTAGTGGTTTAGTGTTATAGTGACTTAAGTCATATAGCTCTTATTCTAAATTTCCACACACTGTATTTTTCACCATCAAATGGTTTAATGTTTCTTTTTGCACTTTTGTGTTCCATTGTCTTTAACTTAATTAAGTTAAAGACAATGAAACACAAAAGTGCAAAAAAAAACATTAAACCATTTGATGGTGAAAAATACAGTGTGTGGAAATTTAGAATAAGAGCTATATTTTCCGAACTTGACGTAATAAAAGTTATAGATAGTGAAACTCCCGATCCTCTAACCGACGAATGGATTAAATCGGAACGTATCGCAAAAAGTATGCTGGTTGAGTATTTGGCGGACTCATTTCTTGGATTTGCGAAAGAAGACAGCACAACCAAAGAGATTTTGCAAAATTTGGACACTATTTATGAGCGCAAAAGTTTAGCTACTCAGTTGGCACTTGTATTAATGACGTATCACCTTGTAGTTTCAAACTCAATAGTTTTTTTCTAAGTGCCAACTGAGTAGCTAAACTGTTGTATTAATGACGTATCACCTTGTAGTTTCAAACTCAATAGTTTTTTTCTAACATTTTACAATGTTCCAAATTCCTACGATGGTGTAATAACAGCAATTGAAACACTATCTGAAGACAGCCTGAGCTTAGCGTTCGTAAAAACTCGATTACTTGATCATGAGGTCAAATTATTAAACGAAAACCGTGATACAAGCAGAAAAGTTCTCCTCATAGACAAGAAAAGTGATACACCCGAAGAAAACCGTTTTAAAATGTCTAACATTCCAAAACGACACAATCAGTTCCCAAAATTTCATCAACAGAATAAATTTAAAGGTACCAGAAAGGCAAGCGGCCTAAAGTGCCATCATTGTGGAAGAAAGGGTCATTTTAAAAGATACTGCTTTTATAATAAGAAAGGGCAGGAATATAAACCCCCACAAAGGCAAAGAACTGTGCAAACTGTGAAGATAAATTGTAATGAAGAAAACAATCCTGGATTTGCATTTATGGTTGGGACTCAACAGTATAATACCCAGATAACCAGCGTCCTTCCGTTTGCCGGTCAGTTGCCTACTATTCGTTCTCTTGATATGGTAGCCGTTTGCTGTCAAGTGGGTGCCACCATTTGACTGTCTGTAGACAAAAATCTTTTCTAACAATATATTGTGTGCAATCCACCGGCAACCGACGGGAAACCTTTTGCTTATAATTATTGTGGACAACATAAGAGTTTATAGGCGGAAATATTTCCTGACAACTTATAATGTGCAACCCACCGGCAACAGACGGGAAACCTTTTGCGTATACTGATTGTGGGCAACGGATAGGAAATGATTTACCTATTCAAATTCACTGAATTTGGTGGCAATTTGCCGATAACGAATCAGAAATTAAAATAAATTAATAAATGAAGCGTTGAGAACCAGAGTGGCCTTACCCACAAACATTTATTCTAAAATGGGGTTATAATTTTAGGACAATATATATATATATATATATATATATATATATATATATATATATATATATATATATATATATATATATATATATGTTAGCATAAGGGTACTTAAGAGCATACCAAGGGCAAGAGAAGATAAACAAATGAGGACCTACGTACACACATGTCTGCCTGACACTTTGAATACGATCGGTTGATATTGTGAGAGTAAAGTTTTGAATAAAGACTTATAGTACTAAATAAATTAGTTTAAATTATTTAAATAACATTATTGTTATTTATTTATAACATCAGAAGTGGGATAGTGATCTGTGCAGTGACCTACAGAAATGGATGAAATTAGTGTAAACACAATTGTGTCGGAAGTGGTGAATTCTGACGATGGTGTTGCTTCGCCAAGTTCCAGACCAATCAAGGAACAATGGCAAGAAAGGTTAGAAAACATGGTAGTTTCGCAACAGCTACAGATTGCGGAGTTATTAAAATTCGCCAAACTACAGACATCGGCGTCCTCCGTGCCAACGCCCTGCTTTGTCTCTACAGACGGAGCCAGTGCCAGTGTCACAGAAGACGGATCAAATGCGCAAGCGTCAGGAATGCTCACGCCAAGTTTGATCTCACCTGGTGAACAAAGGACGCAGGTGTCAACATCGGGACAGGGCAACATAAAATTCAAGCTCACCAGCTATGACCCCGATAACAGTGCATACGCAATCAACGAATGGTTGGAGGACGCAACAAAACTGAAGGAGGAACAGGATGTCAGCGATAATTTAATGATTGCGAAGGCGAGCGATGCGCTGAAGAATCGCGGTTATCGGTACTGCTGTAACTGGAGACCTTTACGGCGATCCTGGGAAAACTTTTGTTCCGACCTTATCACTGCTTTTCCCGACAAAGAGACACTAGGTGCCCGAGCGTTTAAAGCTTTGAC